CAAAGAAAATTTCCATGTAGGATGAGATTTTGCTTTTCTTTAATATTCTTAAAATATTCTAGTTACTACTAGAAAACCGAAAAATTACGAACCTTTAAAAAAAATACTTTGGGCGGCGATAGATGGTAGCTTGCAATAATACGTGACAAGTTCGTATAGTTAGCCGAGAATAGCCGGAAATAGATAACTAATACGGGAAAATCTGTGTCATTCAGGTGCATCACTAGTTTTTATTCTAACGTTAGATCAGATTATGGTCAGCCCAGTTCCTTAATTCGTAACTTGTTTTCCTCACTAAGATTCGCAAAAACTAATATTTAAAAGAGACTGGACACTATTAATCTTCAACCATAATTCACTCCACACGTGTGCCTCAAATTCACATGTGTATTCGATCACACGACGCACTAAGATTAGCAAATTTTATATTAAAAATCTAGCACTGTAATCGTTTTTGAAAACTCGATTCTAATACGAAAACAAACACACGTACACATTCGCTTTATGGCAACGACATTCTGGTATAGCACGGATTCACATTTAGTCAGCCAAGCCAAGACAGCACAGCACTAGCTCGCGCTTCCTACCGATCAGCAGAAGAGGTTTCTAAACATTTGACACAGCTAACAGAATAGCAAAACTTCGAATATAACTATGAAGAAAAAATTAAAAACTTTGAAAGATAAAGAAGATATTTGTTCTATTCATTAAACCCCCATTTCTTTAATTCTTTCAATCTATTTCTTATCATGTTTTGAAGAAGACTCCGCAAAAATGTTTTATAAAACAAATATATATTTTTTTAATTACTTAGTTGGCTCGAGTTTTCGTTGGACGAAAAAGCTTGGGATTCCCCTGAGTCTTTCTTGACAAAGAAGCCTTCAGTCGTCGAGTTTCGCAGCGTTTTGGTGGTCTCGGATTATGAGGTGGCGTGGAGAACAGCGCACGAGCCGATATATTCGCTGCCCTCTTGCCAGCCGCCTTTCGTCGCCGAAAGAGTAGGATGCAAATGTGCAGACGCAGGGAAATGGAGAGGAGAAAGTGGTGAAAGTTACATGGGGCTATTAGTAGTAACAGTATTGAATCCATCCTTTATTTTTATTGCCTTTTGTGGAAATGAGCAATACAAAATCATATTTTTTTCAGCAAGAGTTATCAGTTTCTCTAAAATAGTTACTTACGTAATTAATACAGAATTGGATTTTGGCGCACGAATGATATGTCGGCAGATAAGACGACGATATCCAAGAAGTGAGTATGCCAAAAACTTTCGCACGAGTTGCGTACGTAATTTTTTTAGTGCGAATTCATGGAAGCTTGCACGTATGTACTATCGGGAAAAATTTTCAACATGCGAGGCAAAAGCTATGTTTTCTTTCAGTTTCCTGCTGTTTCGTATGGCTTGACTTCTTTGCGGTACGCGTACAGTAAAGTTTATTTTGTTGGCGTAACGCAAAATAACACTTTCCAATCAATAACCAGTGAAGGTAAGTAATAAATTGTGTTCATTAGTGCTGAAAAGCAATGATTTGAATGCAGAAAATGATTTTTCTTTGCCACAAAACAATAGGGGCAAACTTAATAAAAAAATGAAATTTGTCATTGTACCGTTCCGGTGGTGGTTTCTCAGAGAGCGTCCTCTTCACTTTTTTCTCGTCTGGATGTAATTACTAAATAAAGTATTTGCTTCGATGTGCGAGGTAAAATGTTCAATTATTGAGTTGATAACTTCGAGGAAATTTATTTTTGATCGATTTAACCTTCGCGCGCTTTAATCTACATAGAATTTATCGCAATCATTTCGAAGTCGCTCTGAGGATGAACTCTTCTTTCCTCCTCTCATGTGTTAGTCGGCCAGATCTCTTCAACACTCCTGCGGCGAGTTTTTTAAGGGAGCTATACGTCAGAAGTGGAGAATCTTCTCCCTGAACTGACATTGTGAGTCTTGAAACATTGGTAAGCAAAGGTCAGACGTGGGCCGCAGGTCGGTGTAATCGTACAATTTGAGTTAACAGGAGCGTCGGGATAACCAGACTTAGTAGATGTCTCTCTTATCGCATCACAAGTCGACACATACAATCTAATTTGTTGTAAGTTGGATTTGAAGAACTTCTTTATGCATTTGGCGTCTTTCTTCCTCTTAGGAATCATGCACGAGTCACTACTGCTTTGCACTACTTCGCATATTAAAATACGAAACAATTCTGGGAATCATCGATCTCCTTCGTGCAATGTCATGGGTGATATTTTGCGGGGAGCCATTGCTCTTTTGGGTCAGTGTGGACCCAGTTTATCCACAAGCCTTTTTGTGGTCAACTCCCTGCTGCTAACTTGATCGTTTGTTTTTTTATGCGCCAATGTTTGCACATTACCATCCATACAGCTGTAAAGCAAACACTGGTCATCCACTGACTGCTATGCAGTTCAATGTTGTGGTGACCAGAAGTAGAAGAAAATCATTTTACTAAGTCAACTTGTTCGTATCTGCGTACCACCTTCATCGAACAGAGCTGGTGTACGAAGACCGTTCATAGTTTGGTTAATTGTTTAGTTCTCCTTCTGATCGTTTGGCAACATACGTTCTTTGAAACAGTGGTTGGAATAACGACCCCAGATTGATCGTGAACTATAGAGCAACTCGACCTTACATTGTCATTTTCATAGAACATCTATTTTTTAAACATGGATTGATTAGCCTAATGTTTTGTAACTTCGTCGTTCGTCTTTCTCAAGCATTTGCGTAGGGCTCTTGCATCAAATATGTGTGCGCCCCCAAAACTTTTATCCGGCGTCCCTTCATAAAAGTGCATAGTAAACACAATTAGTGTTAGTACAGTAAATAAAAAATAGGCCTCCTTTTACCCGGGCCTGCCCGCATTGTATTCTACATGCGCGCTTCCCGGACTTGCTGCTGGGAAGTGACGAACGCGCGGGCGCTGCCACTCGCCCCAGTGCCTTATCGTACATTTCCTTGCCAGCTTTGGCCTCATCAGAGAGTATATATTCACTATGCCTCATTCACAATTCAATCTTAAACGTAACGTAATGCAGGAAACTTTGCAGTAAAATGTACACATAAATAAAGCATTCGCTTGAGCCAATCAGATTTCAGGGTATTGAAACTTGATCTATTGTCGATTCTTTTCTAGCATGGGGAAAAATAATTTTCCACAATGGTTTCTAGCTTTCTTGTCGATTTTCCTATCGATTTGTCTTTATATATAAATGGGAGTACCTGTTGTATTAGTGCTCGCATTTCCTTTATAAACAAGGATTCTCTTATACCAAATTCACGAGTGATTCGTAGGACGTAATTATTGTATTCGCCACGTCAGGTGAAAGTAACTAGAAAAATGCCCCAAATTCTTACTTTAAATTCACCAATCGCGTCAAAACAGTTCGGAAACTAGTTCAGTACATAACAGTAATGACATAACCACAAACTACCTGAACACAATCTGAAATCCACCATGTTTGTTTCTTTCATGCTGCTCTCTGATTGGTCTTCGTTAGAATAACGACGTAAACTTTACGTAAAAACTTGGTGCGTGTGAATTTTTAAGTTTATGGCTTTACATCTATGGTTATGTCATAGCATTATGAATGGTCTCACTTAACTCATTTCTGGGTTTTGCGGCTATGTTATGTTTACGTTTAAGTTTGCATTGTGAATGAAGCCTAAGCATTGCCCGTCTCGCTGGGATGCATTCCTCGGCCGTGACACTAACTTGAATCCAACCCTTGTATTTATTAAATCATTTTTTACGGCTTTGATAATTTCGTTAAAGTAGGGTACTTGGTACACCTTCAGAGAAGCGTGGCGACGGGAGGGAGGAGGGGGCTCATTAAACCCTCTCTTAAATTACGCTACGCACTCTGATAGAAACGAATAAAACTTTGATAGGCGATGTCATGGCTCACCCTTCACACGCCTTGACTCCACCGCAATGTAATACCGATTTATTCCCAAAAGCAAGTTTCCTAACTTCGCTCACCCGGATCCAAGTCTTGGCGAGGCTCAGGCCTTCGGCCCTCGCGTTCACTATGAACATCCTCGAGTCTATCCATCGCATAATTAAAAAGAAAAGCACTTTTCAAGCAAGTCTCAAGAATTCAAACTGTGCAGTTGCTGACGGAAAGGTGCGAAGTGCGACTTCCGTAAGTTGTACCGTATACTTGACAGCCGATAATTTTGGTGCACGAACCAGGTCTCAAACTAAGTTTTTAAAATATTTATGGTAGTAGAAGCACTAACAATATCATCAGCTAATACAGTAAGTAGTGTTAATGGTCAGAGATATGTATTTGCATAAATAAGATTTGAATAACTTCTTGGGGAGGTTGAAACTTGCAAATTTAAGGACCAGATTCTATCAAAGGTTTCATTTTAGTACCTTAATGAATAGCCGAAGTTGGGAAATAATGTACCAAGTCCATTGGACTAGATCTCTCTGATTGTGAATATTGCAGTCTTTCTTCTTAATGCTTTCTTCTCCCCCTTCATTCTGTAGTAAGTGTGGCACTTTTATTTGCACTTGCATTAATCTAATGTTAGTGTTTTCATTGAATGATAAATTACAAAAATTCATCAAGTTTTGCAACTTTTTATAAATTGATTTTTGTGATTTACTTGAATTTTCTTCTCCCATTTAAAGAGATTTTTTATTTAGTATTCCAGATTTAGAATTGGAATGTTCAATTGTGCTTGTGATTGTTTTAGTAACACAGGGGTAAACCATGCTGAGGGGGGGGGGAGGAAATGAGTGACTCATTTTGAAAAGCGGGTGGAGGACATTTTGTTACATCACTTATAAGCATTGTGTGTCATTCAATGTAGGGCAACACTTGCTCTGTTTTGTGGTTGATTCGTATCTTTTATCTTATAAAGAATAATCACAACTGTAGAATATTAAGGATTATAATTTTCGTTTTTTGCTTTACTACTGTATAAAAATATGGTTGGTCATATTAATTTCTTACCCCTTATATCTTCTTTTCAGATCAAGAAAAGATAAACGTCTTCTAATGGCTCTTCTCAGTCCTGAAGAAAGACGTCAGAGGAAAACATGCGAATATTGTGGAAAGAGTTTTCAGAACATTTCAAATATTGTTACTCATCGCAGAATACATACAGGAGAGAAACCATATCTTTGTCATGTTTGTGGTACCGTTCACATTTCATTAGGTCGTTTGAAAGCTCATTTTCAATCTCATTCTGAAGATAGACCTTTTGAATGTGACATTTGTAGGGCTTCTTTTAAAAATACAGATCAGTTGAAAGTTCATAGAAGGAGACACACTGAAGAAAAGAAGTTTGAGTGTGATATATGTGGTCATACATGTCATGCTAAAGCAGAAATGATAATACATAAAAAAAGACATTTTAAAATGTATGACTTTTATTGTGAAATTTGTAAAAGAGGTTTTTACTTAGAGGCCAAACTTCGTGAACATATGGTTCAACACTCTGGAAAAAAACCATATAAGTGTGAATTCTGTGATAATGCATACGTTTCTAAGAATAGTTTATCATGTCATGTGAAAGCACGTCATAGTGAACATCCTGTGGATTTAGAATGCAATGTGTGCCACAAAACTTTTTCATTTCCACAGTCTTTAAGGAAACATGTGCAGTTACATTTTGGTGGTGGAAATTCAGTATGTGATGTATGCGGAAAAGTGGTTAGTTCTGATTATATGAGAGTGCATTTAAGAACTCACACGGGTGAAAAACCGGTGACATGTAATATTTGTAACAAGTCATTTAGATCACCAAAGTATTTGAAAACACATCTACGAGTTCATACTGGAGAAAAACCTTATTCTTGTGAACAGTGTGGCAAATGTTTTACTCAGAGGTCAACTCTAGTTGTTCACATGAGATCACATACTGGAGAGAAACCTTATGCATGTAATCTTTGTTCCAAGAGCTACGTTACACACACACTTCTTGTTTACCACCAAAGAACTCATAATGCAAAAAAGTGATATTTAATAATGTAGTGTTAATAAATAATTTTGTATATCAACAACATAAAATAATTCAGATGTAGAGGAGTGTGTGTAGTGGTATCAAAATTATTACATGAGTCATTACATGTCACGTGGTCTAGGGCTCCTTGTGTGTTTTTATGAACTTTTGAATGCAGTCTGTGATGATTTGGAGGAACTTTTGTGGATTTAACATCATAGGCGAAATGTACAGTATGAATATACGATTTTAGCAAATTTGAAACAATATTTCCTTGTGTGTTATTTGTAAACAAGTGAATCTTATCTTCTGCTTTTTTTAGTTTAACTAATATCATATTAGTACACAGTAGATGAATTATAACAAAGTCACCAGGAGAAAACAACAACAATAAGAAGTTACACGCTGTATATTTCAATCTCCTAGCTTTTTACCATTACTTCACAAATTAAGTTAAAAGTTGATGATTTGGTCAGAAAGCACCAATATAGAAAATTGTCGACCTTCTTTTACAGAATAATTCCTTCTACAAATTCTTTCAAACCTACCTAATTGGAAACAGCTGATTGGGAAGCTTTCAGAAAGTTAATTTGATACCACATCAGAGGCACATAATGCCTGATATGTGGTAAACTCAGCTGGGATGTTCATAAAAACAGTTAGTGCTTAATAAAAAGAGTTTAATAGATACAAGAGTTTAATAGATTCCTCAATATTCAAGTATGAAAATTGAAATTTGACACATAGTATCTCAACGTAACACAGATTTTGAAAGCATTCTGTCAACTTCCTAGCTCTTACCATAACTGTTACCATAACAATAAATGTAAAGCAGTTGATTTTTGCAAAATATTGTAATGACAACCTATTTTTACATAAAAGAACTTTTAGAAATGGTTTGAAACATTGCATATTTTGAAGCTATTAGAAAAGTGAGTGTATTTTCCAGTGCTGACATACAAGTCCAAAGTTAGAGGCACACGTGGAAGATGTGGCAAGTTACTTTTAATATAGTACACATTTTCCTAATTTTAAACCATTATTACTGATTTCTTAGTTTGGCCATGGTAATTGTCATTCCCCTTACTATTCCCAATTCTAAAACTTCCCTGTAACTGTTGGCATCAAGTGTCCTCTAGTTGTGCATTAAAAGCCACTGTTGCCTCTCTTCATCCATGTTTCTAGGCCGAGCTTTTGGTGTCATCCACAAAACCCTGCAGAATAATATATTTTTTTTCTTTTCCAAGTAAATGTCTGGGCAACATATCGTAGTTTCTGAATAACATGGGTATCCATAAAATCTACCCCTTATAAACAATATTTTCTATGGTTCTCAAGAAGAACTTTGCAGGTCATCCTTTATTTTAAGAAACATTTAAACTTTCTCGTGTAATAGTAATGCCGTAAAGAAAAATTATTGTAATGTTACAGCGAAAAGCGTCTTTTGACTGGAAATCTTGTTTTGCAGGTCTCTTGATATTGTAAAAGTGGATTTTTCTAGCTCCTGTAGTTGGAGTAGTATCTGTGAACAACACTAGTGCCTAAATCATACCAACACTGATATTCCCTAATGTTCTAGCAGATGTCAGCTCCCCTCTCAATTTGATGCTGATATTTTTACATTAAGAGGGTACTTTACGAGAAGGCATAACAGAATTTTCAAAATTTTCTCAAAAGTGGCTTCAATATTTAACTTTTTCTTTAATAGAGCAAATGTGTTTATAAACGTAGAAAAAGAAATATTGTATTCCAAAGTTGCTCTCAATAATTATTTCTCAAACTATTTCACTAAGAAGTTAAAACTTGGCAAAAATTCCTTTGAGTCCTGTGAGGCTCGGCTTACAAAATTTCATCAAAATATGTTTTAGTTGCTTTGGCCACACATTGAAAATCAGATGACTTGGAATGTCCCATATGACATGTTCCATGCATGATATGCATTTTTTCTTAAAGATGTGAAAACAGTGAAAATAAATTTCTAAATTGCACATTTTGTACGTGAAATGCAAAACATTTTTATTAAGGCATTTGATATTTTTGATGTACTTCTGTGAACTTGTATTTTTATTTGCCAGTTTTGTTTCAAGATAACATAGAAAGAGAAAATTTTGATTTTGGTAGATATGAAATTTTCACAAGTGGAGATAATGTATAAAGGGAATCATAACACAATTTTATTGAAGTGTAGCAAACTTTAAGAATGTAGAAGGATTATGTTATTTTTGAATATTATGTTACTTGTTGTGATGGAATTTTGTTTTGTAATTTTAAATTTTATTTACATGATCAAAAACTGGGGCTGTAGGTAGTGTGAGAAATTTGTATATAGTGTTTGATTTTTGTGAAAATAAAAATTTAACTTTCATTACATTTGCAAATTATTACAGTGATGTGCAGTAATAATTCTTTGTTTGTTTGTTTGTTTTTTTTTTTGTTTTTTTTTTTGTTTTTTTTTTTTTTTTTTTTTTTTTTTTTTTTTTTTTTTTTTTTTTTCTCTCTCTCTCTCTTGCAAATAAGTCCAACTGAGATAATGCAACATACTCTGAAGTATTTTTTTGCCTTTCTCTCAAGACCAAATTTGTTTCATTCTTGTTCTTTGTACTTTTCTTTCTTCTGTTCAATGTTTTCCAGATTTCTTTTCAGTATTTCTTAATCTAGGTGTCAATTATTGATTTTGGATCTAAAGCTCTATGGCATATGTGATTCCAAATTGATGATCTTTTATAGATCTTTGTGGATCCTTTTTAATGTGACAAAGAATATTTTACCTGTTTTCATACAATTCAACTATTTGTGTGATGATTTGATTATGACTGTCCAAGATAAGCTACATCACAATGACATGGCTTGTCTCGGGCAGCCAAGTATCAAATGACTCCAGCCACAGAAGCCTATGAATCCATATTTGTGTGATAAGGCTGGAAATTAGTTAAAAAATAAATTATTTTAATGATTATGTGAGGCAAAAATAATTATCTTGATCATTGTATATCATTTCTTTTCATTTTCTAATGAGTAGGCTTGATTGCAGCTACAGCTTGTTACTTTTATAATGATATTGAAAATTGTGTTAAAGTAAATTATATAGTGAAGTTTTATGAGTCTGTGTAGGAGAATTAATGCATCAAATTTATTAATTGAATTATCCCATCTGCCCATCACTTAATGAAATTCTTGTAGAATTCATAGAAATTAATATTCTGAATTCTATAAATAATAGATAATTATCAATGATTATTGAATCATATCATTATTCATTGTTTATTTGCATTGACTGTCACACTGATTATTCATAATTCAAATAGATTTCAGAAGGTTTTCTTGTATTGATATTCAAAGAAGCACCTGTACTCAGCAGAAGTTCTCTTGAAGTAATTTCACAGTAGTTTCTTAAGTTGTGAGAATTTTACTTTCAAAAGTATTCAGCTACTGGAAAGTAGGAGAGGGAGGGCATTTAAAAATTCTTAAACCAATTCTTTAATTTTAACTGTTGTTCCCTAAATTGATATTTCTGAAAATTTGTTTATTGCCCTTCCTTATACATGTACATTTTGCAATCAGTTCCTGTTTTGAATGTTTTCGAAATTGTATGTTTTGTTTTAGATTGTCTGTTGTTCACTGGTTGCCAACAGTGTCCAATGTGGGCAAAGGAGGAATTCCTGGGCAACAAGCTAGTGGGTTGTTATTGTACGCTTTAAATAAGGGAGTAAAGTTGCAAAAACCAGAAGAACATAGTGAAATTGCTGAGAAGTTGCTGCTGGAACCTGAAGACAGGTGTGACTGATTATATATTTTAGCTCTCTTTACATTATATTGTTTATAACGCCATATTTTTAAACCAATTAATGTGCATCACCATCATCTTAAAACTTCTTTGCTGTGTGTGTTCTTGAGAAAATTATTTTGACATTTTCATTGTCATAATTATCATGATGATCCAAAATGAATATAAATTGAAAAAATAAGCTTTGTGAAAAATTAATCTTATTATTGATTTATTGCTTGAGTATTAGGAAAAAATAGAAATAAAATCAGGTTAGTGAAGAATTTTAGTAGTTGTTGGTGTTAAATTATTTAATTTTTTTACTTCGTAATTCACAAAAAGTTTATTTTATTTTGCACTCTAAAAGACTTGCTAGATTCAATTAATGTAAGGAGTTTGAATTCCTGGTGACCTTGAAAATAGTCTAAACAAATTAGTGGTCTGGAGAAAGAATAACTATTAGAGCTTCACCAAACTTTTATTGAAGATTTGTAATTGTTTCCTTCTTCCTGGCATAGTTGGAGTTGGCATCTAAATATTCTCTTTTAATGGACGACTTTGAATATTATGTAAATGTCTTCTTTAAAGTTAGTGCCCTCAAAAAAGTACTTCCAACGTCATTGGTTCTCTGCTCTTGCAGTATAAAATGTCATCAATTTATTTATTATTTATCAATATACGAGTACACTTACAACTTTTGCAATTAAAAATATTGACAAACTATTACTTATCTTCTTCACTTTGTGGAACTTTTATTTTTTAATGTTTAGTTTTGCAACATCATGTGTGGAATTGAAATGAGAAATGTTTCTTAAATCCCTTAGAAGACTAAAGAGCAAAGATGTTCAGTTGAAAGTAAATGGTAATCACTCAGATTCTAGGCAATTTCTATGCTTGCTTAATTTACGGTCACGTTATTTTGTCACTAGATTTTTTTTTTTTTAAATATCTGAAATAATTTGTTATAATCTCAACTTTTTTCCTTTGTCACAATCAATTACTGTGTTCTAGAATAGACCAGAATAGTTTTTCTGATTCTCTAATCCTCTGTAGTAGTTAATTTTTTAATTTTTGTATTTTAGTGAAAAATATTTACATAAAACCAACTCACAAGAACATATAACATTTTAATGTTCTAAACCAATGATATTTTATCCAAATATTTTTCAAGTCAGGAATTGAATTGAACAATATTTAGTGACTGCTTTTATGAATATTTCTTCAAAGGTATTTAGCGTCATTTATTTCTCACTAGGCACATCTTCTTTTCAGATTAAGAAAACCAAAAAATCTACAGTTGTCTCCCCTAGTCAATCCTGAAGAAAAACATCTGAGGAAAACATGTGAACATTGCGGAAAGGTTTTTAAAAATATTTCTCATGCAATTGTTCACAGGAGAATACATACAGGAGAAAAACCATATCTTTGCCATGCATGTGGAACATGTCACATTTCTCTTCGCCGCTTAAGAAGTCATCTTCGAACACATTCTGAAGACAGGCCTTTCACATGTGACATTTGTGGTTCGGCTTTCAAATATGCAGATCAAATGAAAACCCATCGAAAGAGACATACCGAAGATAAGAGATTTGAATGTAATGTGTGTGGTCATGCCTGCCATGCAAGATCAGAATTGGCAATTCACAAAAAAAGACATTTTAAGATGTATACTTTTCATTGTGATGTTTGTAAGAAAGGATTTTATTTAGAGAATGAACTGCGTGACCATATGGTAAAACATACTGGAATAAAACCTCACAAGTGTGAATTGTGTGATAAGGCATATGTTTCTAAGAACAGCTTGACTTGCCATATTAAATCTTGTCACAATCAACCCACTTTAGAGTTAGAATGTGATGAATGTCAAAAAAAGTTTTCCTTTCCACAGTCATTGAAAAAACACAAGCAAAGGCACAAGGGTGTCGGAAATTCTGTATGTGATGTTTGTGGTAAAGTTGTAACCTCAACATATATGAGAATTCACATGAGAACTCATACAGGTGAAAAACCAATTGTGTGTAATATCTGTAATAAGTCATTTAGGTCTGCCAACTACCTGAAAACACATATGCGGGTTCATACTGGGGAAAAACCCTATACTTGTGAAAAATGTTTGAAGTGCTTTACTCAAAGATCAACTTTGGTTGTTCATATGAGATCACACACCGGAGAGAAACCATACACATGTTCAATTTGTTCCAAAAGTTACGTTACCCATACTCTTCTTATGTATCATAAGAAATTACATCAATTAAAAAATTAAATATGTTGATGGATCTGTAATGCTGGTTTCACGTTGTGAAAATGAGTTATTTTCAGTACATAATTAGCTGAAAAGAAAAAGGGATATGCTACTCATGGTTTGATAAACGAAAACGTGTAAATGCAGTATTATATTATGTTGTTGTTCTTTATTATATATTGACATTGTATTTACAACAAATTCATCTTTTGTATAGCATACATTTTTATGAGGCATTTATAAATATGCTGATCTTTCATAAATATGTAACATATTATACCTACATGTATATTTGATGGATAGTATATAAAGTGCAATCATCTGTGAATTCAGTGTCCACTGTGGTTTTCTAATAGAGGTTAGGAAGGTTTCGATTTCATCTTTGTTTCTTATTAAGATAGAAGGTAAATGTTAATTTCGAATTATTTTGTTGAAAGTAATAAAATTATTTATTCATATTGTTCAAAATATTATCATCCTGACTGGGAATTGAACCTTGGTCTCCTGGTTTATATCCAGGTGCACCCCAGGATCCTCTTACCCAAAGCATCTAATGTAAATCAGGAGACATGTGTTCAATTCCTGGTCAGGTTGATCTTCTATCAATTTGAATTATTAAAATACATTTGTTACACAGTACCAAGTATATTGCCACATTGTTTAAAACATTTACTGTACAGAACACATTTGTGATGTAATTGCCTCTCCAATAAAGTGATGATGGGTGGTGATTCTTGAAGATAACGTAACTAGATCTTCCTAATGCATTTCTTTAATTATAAAATCAGTGAATTTCAATGTGTAATTTAAAAAAATATTTCTTATAAATTTACATTGCTATGTCTGGTAGGTTGTTAGTGCTTGCTATGACTAATAGTTTTCATTTAATTTTATTTTACTGAATACACCCCTTTACTGTATAAAGAAAAGCAATAAAAACCACTTGTAAATCAATAAACCAAACTATTTTCACATTTATAGTAATACTTCTGACCTTCCTCTTGACCATTTCTTTATATTTGTCTGGGTCTTCTGTGACTTTTATTTTTTACTGTGAGCTATGATTTTTCTCTCATATCTCATAAGTCTAGTATAGAGAAAGTTATGTAATCCTACTTGCAAAAACCAGAAATTATTTTGCAGAAAAAGTCATTTTGTATGTTCCTGATACAGAAAAACTGAGTAATTTACTTCCTGTAATATGTGTGGAGTCAAAATTCATGTTTTTTGGGTTGTTGATGTAGAAAACTTGGTTTATAGCGTCTGAACAGTGTTTAGTGGCTATACCACGTGCACAAAGTTCACCTAAAATGATATTCTCTGATCAGGCTTGCTGATGTCATGGTCCCTTGTTTTTGATTCAGAAATTTTAATTTTGGGGGTACTTAACAGGAAGACATTTTAAAATATTTCCCCAAAATGGCTCAAAATTTTTGGATGTTTATTTTTTCAGTTAAAGCAAAGTTTGCATATCTAAATGGAGCAGGTCTGATTTTTCTTGAATTCTCTAAAGTTTTCTTCCTACAACTACAATATTGAAGATAGATTTTTGAATGGCTCTCATGCATTACGTCAGATATGTATAGTAAAGACGGATTTAAGAAGATAATTTCATATCATATTTATCAAAATTCAGCACAAATAAGCACAAACAATCTTTTTAATTTCTTGTAAATGTAGTGTTGAGAAAATATTGTAATACTGCGGAAATTTGATTTTGATATTTGAGTAAACTACTCCTTTTGGTAGTGCTAGATACGAGAGTATTTTTTCTAAAGTGTTTGTCTGTCCATCTGTAAAAAACATTGGGTCCGAAATCTTTCACAGAATTTTCTTGGATGTTAATATTTCCTTCTTGATTTGGCAGAACTGAATTCAACTTTGAAATGATTGTTTACATTTTCTTCGTTCATGAACCTCCTGAGGAATTTAAAAAATTTTGTCACAAAATTCTCCACATCTTTCCTGTACTTTTTTACTCAAATACAGCAAACATTTTATTTCTCTGAATTTCAGAAAAATGCATAAGTTAGACCAATTTACCACAACTCATTTATTGAAAATAGATATTTTTTATTAATAAAATCAGTTCTTTTAAGTTAGATCTATACAAATGTAATTTACATTATTTTCAAAACAGTAGTTTTTCTAAAATTCTGGTAATTAAATGAACTTGTGGTAATTAAAACAAGATTGTGTCAAATGGCTCCAAATATGGTGTGTAAACTTTTTGTCAAACAGAGCTAAATGATCAAATGATGTCGAATTTCATTGATATAAATAGATTGGTTGTTACTAAGCAAACTATTGCCTGGTGTGCAAGAAAAAGGTATATTTTATATATTAAAATGGAGTTTAGAAGATACAGGCCTACCTGGGCAAGAACTCTCGCATGTTCAACCCCACCTTAGTTTTTCCATGGGTATCATGAAACTGAAACATGGGAACATGGGGTCAGTTTCCATCGTAGTTCTCTCCACAATTAGGTATGTGTGTACTGTTTTCTGGGTCCTGGAATACCTACCCCCACTCCCTTACGAACATTGGTTGAATTCAGAATGTGTAATAGAAACTACTTAGCATTGAACAAAGAGCTACAGATTTCATATGATAAGCCTGTCAACAAAATAAAACCCCCCACTCCTCCCTTGAATTTCGCAATCAAGCAAAGTGAGGGCTCAAGAAAACGTGCTGGGATAATTTAACACAGCACTTGTAAACCACAGCAAAACGTTAAATGAATGGATGCGGTATTCACATGAGATACAC